CTTATGTGACATTCGCGTACAATTCGTCACGCCACGACACCGCTGGCTTCTCCCCCTTCTATTTATTGTTCGGCCGCCATCTAGCGTTACCCTTCGAGACTCTTCTCCCATCAACTACGCAAACGGTTACAGAGTACGCCCGGGATGCCACTGCTCAGGCTCAAGTGGGCCGCCAAATCGCATGGCAACGTCTTCTTAGCTCACAGCTCTCTCACAAGGCCCGCTACGATAGCTATCACAGAGTAGTTTCCTACTCTCCAGGTTCATTGGTCCTCCTCTGGACACTATGCCGCCACGTTGGCCTCTCTTCGAAGCTCCTGTCTCGCTACTCGGGGCCTTACAAGGTTTTACGACGGCTTACTGATGTCACATACGAGATTGCTCCGTTGGACAGTCAGTCATCGTCGTCCGCACCCGCTACTGACGTCATCCACGTGACCCGCCTCAAACCGTACATATCCGCATATGATCCTACTCTCCTTTAGGCGCCGAGACGGCGCTGCCAGCAGCGGGGGGTATGTTACACGACATCGGCAACGAAAGAGCATCATAGACGACGAAGACGATGAAAGCGACCGTGCTCGTGTTGTTGTTGCTGCTGTTCTTCCATCTTGGCTGCAGCTGCCTCTGACTCTCCCTGTATATTTTGTAAATATATTTATTTCATTCATTCTCTCACCCCCGTAACAATATGTACTTTTCTTTGTATGTCACTTAGCAAACGCATTCCGTTTCATCTATCTTATGTGCTTTCTGAGGTTAAAAAAGGAAGAGGGAATCTCCTCCAGTAAAATACTATATAATAAGTATTCGAAAAATTCCCAAGACAGAGGTTGTGGCCTCAAGTCGACATTTCAATAAGCGGTCTTGTCTTTTTCAAGGATAGGACCGATTTCCTTCATGGTAGCATGTACATGTATCATACCTTTTCATCCAATCCGAAGAAAGGAGGAAGAGATGGCAACTATGATGTAGCAGTATAAGTGGGCTGAGAAGCCGCCATGACGATTTGTATGAATAAAAGAAAAGAACTATTCTGTGAATAAAAAGAAAAGAAAGAAGTGGGGAGATAGGGGGAGATGGGGGTAGACGTTTCGCTAAGGGGGCTCTCTCTTGAATTCTTTTATTCGATATGGTACAGTTGGCCAAATCTTAATCTATCATGCGTGAGTGGCAGTTTTTTCTTTGTATGTTTCCCATACGACTTCATTAAGTTTTAAAAAAAGGTGACGACAAATGTATGCCCACTAAGCACATGTTCACGAAGCAATGTTTTATAACTTTGTTCCATAATATGGCGCTGAGAGACAAAAAACTGGCCGCTGCACACAATAGTCAATGTTTTGGCCGACTGTACATGCAGAACAAAAACCAATGAGAGTTAAGCCCTCCATGTAGGTGTTTGACCTACCATTCTTAAATCTTGGATGATCTCAACCTTTACATAATTCAGTCAAACTTTCGATCCCCGAGAGACAGAAAATATATACAGCCATACCTTATTTTCTAGTTCAGTATACTCCAACCAGCATGTATAAACATTTCTAAGGGGGCTTTTGAATCCATTCAATATGGTATATACACAACAAAAACCAAAGAGAATGAAGCCCCTCTTCTAAAATTTTTTTAAACAAATTCTTAAGTTCCTCTGACAACCCTGGTTAAGTGAAACATACACCCCCCCCCCCCTCCTCTTTTTATTCATGAAATACACCTTTTATTATACTCACTCTTCATTCGTCTCAGCAATGCCCCCCTCCCCTTCTAGTACACCTGCATCCTCAGTTGCCCCCCTTCCCCCTTTTCCAAAATAGACGTGAGGGTACAATACATTATATGCTAGCACCAAGGAAATCATTTCTGGCTTGAAAAAGACAAGACCACTTGTTGAAATGTCAGCTCAAAAACAAACGCCCCTTTTATGGATTTTTTTTTCATCGCAAGCTTCCATCTTACCCTTTGTGCCATTTTTTGGATATGTAACTAACAGTCTTTAATAGTTGTTAGCTATATGTTATTCTGAAACTGCTACTGATATATTGATGTTATACACTACAGGAATACAGCTTGTGAATTTAAAAATTTCATGAACAAAGGTGGGGCAGAATGGAGCATGCACCAGTCAAAAACATATTAAAAAAAAAAAACATTAAGGAGACAGCCTATATGCACAGCATCCATGCTTTGTTAGGATAAAATATGCCCCTCTCATCACTCCTGCTCCTTACATTTAAAATGACTTATTACTGATTGCCAAAACAGTACGGGAAACAATGCTGCTCTTCCCAGTATTAGAAAATCTTGCAGCATCAAGCAGTCCAACATATAGCGTCCTTGCTATTTTTTTTTCATTTGCATTACACATAAAAATTCTGTCATATACTGTTTTAAGAACATTCGCAGGTACGTGGTGCCTCTTCTCCAGCTCTTGGCAGCTAGTGATCACTGGTAACAGTGAGAGTGCCAGACAACACCAGGAACCAGACGAGAAGGGGCAACACATACAAGAATACCATTCCTCTATGTCTAATATGTGTTCTGTGGCACTGTTTACAATGCTATCATGAACCAGCTAGCACAAAAATATGTCTTCATCAAGAAGGCTAATGCAGTGTAAAAGAAATAGAGAAGCCAAAATGCAACTTCCAAAAAAAAAAGAGGCAAAGAAGTGATAGCTTGATATCTTGCTTATAATAATACAATACAGTTGAACCCCTTTATAAGAGGCATGCTCCGAGCAGCAATTCTTGTCTTTTATATGAGATGTCTCAAATAAGCATGGTACCATGTATGCATTTTCCTGTGAACTCGTACCTTACTGTAGGCACACTGTTGTCTCTTGTATCCATTTGTCTCTTATACCCATTTGCCTCTTATCAAGGACTTTGACTCTAATCGAGAAACACTACTGAGTATGCTTCAATAAGGACCATATTTTAGAACATTTTAACCTGATATGATAACACAAGGTTTATAGGTGCCGTAATATAAAAAAAACAGGTCATATCAGTACACTGACCTCGCTATGAAGTAATAGTGGCCAATCAGGTTCATGGGATACCAGAATGATAGCTGTCATGAAACTGAAATGATAATCATCATCAGCAGCAGCAGAAGCCTGAATACGGCCACTACAGGGCAAAGGCTTCTCCCATGAACCGCCAATCAACCTGTCTTGTTTGTGCTTTCCGTTACCACGTTATAGCTGCAAACTTTTCAATCTCATTGGCCCCACCTAACTTTCTGTCTCCCCTTTGTGCGTTTGCCTTCTCTAGAAATCCCGTCAGTTACCCTTAATCACCAGCGGTTATCCTGCCTACGTGCTACATACCGGCCCATTTCCATTTCTTCTTGATTTCAACTATGATATCCTTAACCCCGGTTCGTTCCCTGACCCACTCTGCCCTCTTCTTGTCTCTTAAGGTTTATGCCTATCATTTTCCTTTCCATCACTCGCTGCGTCATCTTCAATTTAAGCAGAACCCTCTTTGTAAGTCTCCAGGTTTCTGGTCCATAGGTAAGTACTGGCAAGATGCTGCTTTTATATACATTCCTCTTGAGGGTTAGTGGCAGATTACTATTCATGATTAGAGAATGCTTGCCGAATGTGATCCGCCCCATCCTTATTCTTCTAGTTATTTCACTCTCATGGTTTGGCTCCGGGGTTACTACCTGTCCTAAGTAGACAATATTCCTTTACAACCTCCAGTGCCTCTCCACCTATCGCAAAGTGCTGTTTCTGCCGAGACTGCTGCAGATTACTTTGAATTTGTGCATATTAATTTTCAGACCAACTTTTCTGCTTTCCGTGTTCAGTTCTGTAATCATGAGCTGTAATTTGTCCCCTGAGTTACTCATCAAGGCAATGTCATCAGCGAATTGCAAGTAACTAAGATACTCTCTATTAGCTCTTATCCGTAACTCTTCCCAATCTGGGGTCCTGAAAACCTCCAGCAAACACGCGGGGAATAACATTGAAGAGATCGTGTCTCCCTGCCTTACACCCTTTTTCATTGAGATTCTGTCGCTTTCGCTATGGAGAACTATGGTGGCTGTGGATCCACTGAAGATTTCTTTCAGTATGTTTATGTAGGGTTCATAGATGCCTTGTTTCGTAGTGCCTGCATTACTGCTGATGTCTCGACTGAGTCAATTGCCCTTCTCATAAATGTGCACTACATAGTGCCACTACTATAACACATTGATAGAAACAATCAAGCTAACCACTGACACTTTTATTTTTGTAGCCAGCAACAAGTTTCTGCAATGACTGTACATGCCAGCTATATAATAATCGAAAAGCCGAAATTGCACAAAACGAACAAAAAAACTGAAACATAGTTGTTAGTTGCAGGGAAAGCAAGAAAAGATGTCTAAAGTGAAGGTGAGCTAATACACTTATACCATACTCATTTTGAAAATTCCGCTTCAAGTTAAATATTCATTTCTGTTAGGGTAATAGAGATATTTTACACTTATGAGTATAGATTGAAAGATACGGATGTAAACAGCTGTACTAAATGGTCCTGCTGTAGAAGAGTTGTTATGCAAGGGCAACAGTCTGGACTCGACAAACACACAGAGTAGCGAACTCATGTTCAATAATTTGTAGTTAATGAGGTTGTCTTGCATTTGGCCTGCTAATTATTTGGTCAGCCAACCATGCTTGCATCACATGAGATGGTTTGCGTGGTTCTGCAGTGTTTTCAAATCCTTGGTGACAAACACAACACACATCTGGTGGAATGTAATTCCATGCTATTATTATAATGAAGCACCACGTCAGCTCACGAGCTTTTTTATTTGTGAGCAGCTCGGTCAACTAAACATCCAATGGTACTCCTGACCATTATTTACTTGGCTTAGAAGTTAAATGTGCTTCAACATTTATTTGACGGTAATTTATCATGAATATTCATGTTAAAAATTGGAAAGTTTCACCAACCAAAAAAGAGCAGTTTAAATAAAAGCCCGCATTGCAATAAGAAAGCTAGACTTACCACACCACAAGAGTCGAAAAACTGCACCTTCTCTTTCCCTCCACGATCGTTATCAACTAAGGCACAGTAGATGTCCTCAATTGTTGACTGAATGTCCTGTAAACAATAACAGAGCAAAATTATGTATTGTAAGACTGAAGTGGATAATAATACTTTGTCCTGACACCAAAAAGGTAGCCATCTATGGTAAAGTGTGACTGGCCAAAACATTCATGTTGAGTCCTTCCATCCCCACTAAAAATAGTATGGCACACAACAGTAAATCTCCTTCAGCACTGCATGGGACAATAGCTGTGCTGCTTGAATGGAACAACTCTCTATTTCTCTGTTACACAAAAACAAATTTTCACCCACAGTGAAAGCTTTTTTTCCTTCCATGAAGTTGACGTGAGGGATCCTTGGTGATGTAGCTCGGTTGGGGTGAAGCACACGACAGAAGACTTTGAATGGTAATGAGCAAACTGTACTACAATTGCGTAGGGTAATTACATCTGGGAAGACTCATTTGCACATAGCAGTGAGTTCAAACAACAGGCCCTTATTCTCCTACACCTTGTGGTGTTAGAGTGCAGGGCACTGCGAGGGAGTGCCCAGGCCAGAGCCTAGCCATTCTACCACAGCGTGGTTACATAACAGCCCAGACTGTCCATCTGCGCCTATCGTGTGGTGTTTACAATAAGAAAACACAAGGGAGGTGAGGGAGAGTGAGATATAACATGAAGGAAAGAAGAAAACAGTATGGTCCAGTGCAAGAGGTGTCGCACCTTCCCTCGCTACTGACACTGGTCTCCAACTGACCCCCGACCTCTGCCCGTGGCTCGTATTTCAACACACATCTGCCAGCTCGAGGCTCCCATATTCTTGTGCTCGCAGGGAGATTCTCAAGTGAGTAGATATTTGGTGTGAGGAGGTGTGGACAGCTCATTTTGAAGTTTGTATACGGGGCAAGGTCTCAGTTACCAGAGACGAGTTCTGGGCCTCTCAACGGTTTATTCAGACCACATTCTTCTTTTACATTAGTGATGAGGGAGAGTGCGCTATGCATACACATAAACCTTTTGCCAAGAAAAACAGTTGCTGCTTTCATGAAGACAAAATGATGGCTCCAGCGATGTTCCTTATTTTGTAATTGTTCATCATGTCAAGCCTTCCTATGTGAACACATTTTAACAGTGGTTGTCGGTATATACCTTTACAGCGCACTAATGCCAGTGGATTGTGTGGAGTAAAAAAAAACTTTTTCTTACACACCAGGCAGTTTTCCTTAAGCTTGAGTTTTAGAATTTTCCGAATGCCCATCATTATGTGCCAAGCAACACACAGTCTTCCTCCCCCCCCCCCCCCCCCCCCACACACACACATTCTCCACTTCTAAAATTTTTTCCCTGTTCTCCAAAAAATGTGATACAGCCATGAAAGTTTAAACTTATATTTGAGAACTCGAACTTGGGCAGTTAATAGTGTTGCTTAAGCTAATTTATAAGGTAGCATAATACAGCATCATGGGGAGAGGGGAAAGAAGAGTGAAACATAGCAGATGGCAGAAAGCAGAGGCTACCTTGAGATACAAGTACCAATCCCTGGTGGAAGGGTGCCTCTCTTCCCATTAAAACTGGTGAGTGCCGAGATGCATTGATAATCAAATCTTAATATATGTGTAGCTGATTTCATCTTATAAAGTTTTTTTCTCAATGTAAACAAAACAAAAAGTGCTATCATTGATATATAGTTTACCAGCCAAAAAAAAAAAGAACCCCTCACATGCAATTGATTTGATTGATTGATATGTGGGGTTTAACGTCCCAAAACCACCATATTGACGCGTGTCTACATGTGGACGATAACAATGATGGGGCATTTAGTGGGCACGAGGTAGTGGGCCTCTAGCTTCTCTCGAGGCCAAAGAAGACGATCTTGTGGCTCAGCTGTTGAGAACACGCTGCTTTCGTCATCTGAAGGTGTATCTATGTTTTATTTGCGTTGTACCGCGACACTGGTGGAGGTGCTGGGCCGCAACCCTGTCTGATGCTCCACACGCCCGCTGGGAGCCGTTCATCGAGTCCAGGCGCATTGTCACCTGTAGAAACACCGGTGCATCGCTCCAGTCGACGGTTGCGAGGCCTCGCGCCAGAGCTGACTCACTCGCCGGAATCTGCTAGGCACCGCACACCTCAACCGATGGCCAACGCAAGCCCGCAACAGGTGCCCCAAGGCAGCTTTCCGACGCACCCATCTCAGGTGACCCTCTTTCAACCCCTCGTTCCCGATCGCTTTAGTGGCGGTGCCCATGAAGACGTTCACGACTGGCTTGACCACTAAGAGCGTGTTGCCAAGGTAAATCAGTGGTCGGAACAGGAAAAGCTTTCACGCGCCTATTTTTGCCTTGACGACAATGCTCGTACTTGGTATGAGAATAGAGAAGGCAATCTGTCAGCTTGGCCCGACTTTCGACAGAAGTTTGTTGATACCTTCACCAATATCGATAGAAAGGACCGTGCACAGCAGTTATTGGAGCTACAGGTTCAAAAACCCAACGAAACCATTGCAATGTTTGCCGAGGACATGACTCGTCTCTTTCAACGAGCTAACCCGCACATGACGGAAGATAAAAAGTTGAGTTACCTCATGCGCGGTGTCAAGGAACAGCTTCTTGCCGGGCTACTGTGCAACCCTCCAAGTACCGTGGTTGACTTCATTAAGGAGGCTACGACTAACGAGCGGGCCCTTCATCAACCCTGCAGGCAATATGACCGCATGTCCTGCGATGTCCCAATCAATGCTATCGCCATGACGTCTGAGAGTCAGAGCTGCTTGCGAGACTTGATTAGGGAGATAGTTCGCGAGTAACTGCAGAGGTTGTGGAATCCGGTTGCTGAAAATCCTATCGTGTCGATCGCTGAAGTCGTACGCGACGAAATCCACCAAGCGTTGTCTACGGCTAGTCCTGATGCTCAGCAGCGTCCTATGAGCTACGCTGCCGCTATCCGATGTCCACCACCCGCTATGCCGACGCTGTACCACCAGGTGCCGATGGCCCCTTCGTATCCGCCGCAAGAGCAGATACTGCATCAACCACCCACGCTACAGCCATACAACCAGCCGTCCACAGCCACCCCATGGGCATCGACACGTCCACCGACCCGGAAAACAGATGCATGGCGCACAGTGGACAGACGTCCACTATGCTTTCACTGCGGAGGTGCAGGACATATTGCCCGTCATTGCTAGCATCGAGGTTATTCATTCCGTCCTCATCGACCTTGGTTTGACGGTCCACGTGCCAACAACGAATACACTCCGCGCCGTGATGACAACTCTTTCTATGGAGCCTGTTTTCACTTTGAGGACGGCTCTACCACTGCAGAGGAGGCAACGCCTGCTCACCTTCCTGGTCCGAGACGTCGATCCCGCTCTCCGTCCCCCGCGTGTTCGCCTTTGTCGCACCGCCGCACCTACGCGGACCTTAATACAAGAAGGTCACCTAGCCCGCGCCGGGGAAACTGAGAGCGGCGACCTCCGGGGGTATGGTTGCAGGCCATGAAGATGACGACAAGAAGCCCCCACAGCATGACATCATACAGCCGATAAGCCGTGAAAACGATGAAATTGTGACAGCTGACCTTAGTGTTCTTCTTGACGGCCAGAAAGTAACAGCTTTAGTCGACACTGGTGCCGACTTCTCCATTATCAGTCAGGACCTCGCCGACAGCCTCAGTAAAGTGAAGACGCCATGGACAGGCCCTCATATAAGAACAGCGGGAGGCCAGTTATTGATGCCCTCGGGAAGATGTACCGCAAGAATTGACATCAGAGGTTCTCCTTTCACTGCGTCGTTCGTCGTTATCGCCGCATGCTGCAGAGATGTAATTCTTGGCATGGACATATTACGGGAATATGATGCCGTCATCAACATACTCTTAGAGAGCTTGATTATGTTTTGCAACAGTTCGGGCTTACCCAATCCTTCAGAGGCGCGATTAAACCAACTGCGTCTTACTCCCTCCCAAGTCATGCGTTCTCCCTCCTAAATCATGCACGCTTGTTTGTGTGGCCGCCGCTGCTCAGTTTGACGCCGAAGGAGTTGCAGACCAAATAAGTTCGCTGCTTTTCACCCACGTCGCACGAGGTATTGTCATAGTTGCTGCTGGACGCACGGACTTGCTGCTGACCAATTTTAGTGCTGAGCGCCGGCACCTTCCAAGAGGCACGGCTGTCGCTTATTTCGACAATGTTGTAGATGCTGAAGGCTGCTTGGCAGTAGTCATCGAGTCACTAAATCTTAATTCAACGCCTATTTTGGACGTTAGCATTACTTTCCCAAAAGATGACTGACGCAGACTCCTTGAGCTACTGGCCAAATTTCAAGACTGCTTTTCGACAACATCAAGAGTTGGCCACACGCCTCTAACCAGGCATCGAATAATTACCGAGGAAACGGCGAGACCTATTCACCAGAACCCTTATTGCGTGGCTCCAAAAGAACGTGAAGCGGTACAACAGCAGGTAGACAGAATGCTTGAAGATGACGTCATTCAGCCTTCACAGAGCCCCTGGGCGTCGCCTGTAGTCCTCGTTAAGAAAAAGGACGGCAGCCTGCGCTTCTGTGTGGATTACCGGAAGCTAAATCAGGTGACCAAGAAAGACGTATATCCACTACCACATATAGATGACTCTCTCGAGAGACTTCGACATGCTCGATACTTCTCTTCTATGGACTTGCGCAGCGGATATTGGCAAATAAAGGTGGACTCGAGAGACCGCTTTTGTGACACCATATGAGTTATATGAATTTAAGGTCTTGCCATTTAGTTTGTGCTCAGCCCCTGCTACCTTTCAAAGACTCATGGATACCGTGCTTTCTGGGTTGAAGTGGAAAACATGCTTAGTATATCTGGACGACGTCATAGTGTTTTCCGCGACGTTTGACGAGCACCTTGAAGGACTTGAGGTGGTCTTACGAGCCATACAGTTCGCGGGCCTAACGTTGAAGCCTGAGAATTGCCACTTTTGCTTCAAAAAGCTGCGATTTCTTGGTCATGTTGTCAGTCATGCTGGTGTTCGTCCCGATCCTGAAAAAATCGCAGCCGTAGAACAGT